CCATACACGTTCTCATCCCATGTTGTTCTTAACCTCCCTCTGTGCCTGGTTTTCATCGACTTTGCATTGAATCTGCTGTTCCGACCCCATTCTTATTACATGAGCAGCCCATTGCAACCTTTGCGACTTAATGTATCTCACTATATTTTCGTTTCTAAGCAGTTCTTCAATTTCATTGTTTGTTCGTCTTAAATTAAGTTAAGTTAAGTTAAATTAAATTAAATAAAGAGAAATTAATCATAGAGTATATTAAGTGTAGAGAAAACTCAAAACCTTTTGATTGGAACTGCATTTAGTATGCAAATAGTTTTCTACTTATCAGTCAAGAATGATTAATAGTAATAATGAATAATTTATAAGCTATTAATGCTTGTGAATGTTAGAATTCCAAGCACTTCGTTTAAAATTACATATAAGTTAAATGCAATTTTCTACTTTGAACACTATAAAAAATATTTAATTTTAAATATTTATGCAGTGTCTTCAAAATCGTGTCTCGATAATATTCCAATTAAACTGGCGTCTCAATAAAGCAGAGGTGGCGAACATTTTTATAAAGAAGTACATTTATATTAGAACACGTTTATATATTCAATTTTGGAAAACTATTCTAAAAAGCAGCAACAATCCTTATCTATTTACCCATATATAGATTACGGTATCATTTAATTAACTAATTAGAATAGCGTTCATACCACTGTAATTTTCATATGTGTTACTTATGGCATGAGTGCCATAGTTTAGCCATCGCTAATCTAGATCAACAAAAATCATTTTATCCCAGTTCAATATACATTTAAAGCTACATACTAAGCAATTATTTATTACTCATTTCATTCTCAGTTCATTTACTCGACCAAATGCGCAGCGAGTTTAGTTATATCATCGCAGAATTAACTTCAAACCCGGTTTGATTTATAATTATATCCCACAAATAGTACTCATATTATAAACTTTGTTACAAGATAAATATAGTCTCTACATTCGTTACTTTCGATTTCCTCCCAATCTCTTGCTCTTGCTCCATCCCCTCATAATTATTCCGAATGGCAAAATCCATCTAATAGAATTTTTTCCTTTACATAAGAATTCTTCAATATTTCAAAAACATAGCAGTAAGTTGAGCGACGTTATGGTCGCGAACTGATTATTTTCACAGTGTTAGAACTGTTCGATAGTCTATAGGAAATAAAAATATCAGTTCCAGTTCGGTACTAATTAGGTGAAACTCACTCACTACCATTAAAACTCCAAACAGTTTCAAGTGGTGCCTACTGAATTTTAGTCGCCACTTATGGCAAGCAAGCTCTGCCTCGAATATACTGTAACCCCTTTCATATGGGGATAAACAAGGCATAAGAATCGTCATCGATTTAAAAGGTGCTTCGCACTATTTTGTCGCCCGTTAATATTACCGGAAAGCTACGAAAGCCATTATCTCCAATCAGGTATATGACGATACATCATGAGTGAGTTTATTGTTACGTTCTTATCGTGCTGTCATCCTGGCATTTTCTTGATAGACAGAAAAATCAAGCAGACTAGTTTTACTTAAATATATCTATACTATTGGAATATTACTTAAATAAAATTGTTTACTCTTTCTTTCGAAAAAAGTTTATTGTATATTTTTGGATTTAAAGAGTTTACTAAAATTATTCCAAAGTCGAAAAGAAAATTCTTCTTTCAATTGATGTTTAATAAAAAAAAGCTTTGGTTCCTGAAGAGAAAATAAAACTAATTATAGAAAGAACAGCACTATTTTATCATTTATAGTGCTGTTCTTTCTATAATTATTTTTATTTTCAAATAAATATCAAATTTTTATTTATTATTTATTTAGATATTAATTACAATTGAAGTCCGGATTAAATTTTGTTGCATTGCTGAATTAAAAAAAAATATAACATAGAACTGTTTTAAAAAAATATTTTTTAAATTATATTATATTATAAATTTGTTAATTATTTTTTAATGAAACACAATCGTTAGTGTTTTTATAAAGAAAAATTTTTAAATTCAAATTAACACTAAATGCAATAAATTATTCAAGAAATGTATTCGAATCAACTGTTGCGATACTAATTTTAAAACACTCGAAAAATTTTAATTATTATTATTATTTACATTTTAATGCATATAACTTTTTCTCCATTATCAACTGATGATTTGAATTTTAGTGCAAAAAAAACTTAATCGTATCGTTTATACTTTTGCAACAAAAGTATCTGTATCTTTTCAGCTGCTTTTGCAGCAAAAGTATCTTTTTAGCTGCTTTTGCAGCAAAAGTATCTTTTCAGTTGCTTTTGCTCACTTGGCGGGTCCTCATTTACATTGAATGAATGCAATGAATACGAAAATCTGTGATTCGAGTCGAAACTTTTGAGATTACTTAACCGAAAACTGAATGGAATAAATCAGGCAGTTTAAACCATAACCTATGCCACTAAGTAACGCTTTCGCAATAAATTAACAAGTCTTCGGGGCCTTTTGATTAGCACTTGAATCTTTTTTTTGTGTTTTTTGGTTTCTTTGGGTACTTCAAGTATCTAAATTCGCCGTAAAATATGCTGATTTGCGTAAATTAATTGGCTGCCATTTCACTTTTATTTTCATTTCAACTGTTTATTTTTTTATATTTTCTTATTTTATATCTTTTTCAAATCGTAAATAAAACTAAGACTAACTGATGTAATCGTCTCATTCACTTAAAAAGTTAAAGTTAATGACTTATGAAGATTAATTTTGCTGTAAATGACTTAGGCTTCCCTTTTGCCTTTGGGCGCTTTTGCCTCTACAATCGTATCTCATTTTAATATATGAGATTTATTAATAAATATTAAAGAATAAATTTGTGAGCACTACTGTAAGGTCTTAATTAGCCAATAAAGCCTCATTTATGAAGCTCATAAGCAAAAAACTGTTATGTAATCAAAAAGAAATGGAAATGGAGATAGCTGTTCATCAATGGAGTGTTAAATTTATTTCACTGGTGATATTATAATGGAATCTGGCATTTTATTCAATAAAAATAATAATGCATTTTTGTGAATTTCACTTATTAATAATGGCATTAAATGCTTAATGATGGCATTATTTAATTAATAAATAATATAAATTATTAAAATTATATAAAAGTTTATCTCAGATTAGATTAGATATTCACAATGTATATGTTTTACAAGTTTTTTGACGCTTCTTCAACAATATTGACTCCTTTCTAAACAGAGACTTTATAAAAAAACAGCGATATCAAGCTTGGTCAGCGACAAGCTTGAGCTATTGTGCGTCCCTTTGTATTTAGACATTTAGTATCTCGAAAAATCCAACCAGCTCTTTCGGAAGAAGTTTTCGAAGGTCTTCATCATCTAGTTGGTATACACCAAAAATTTTGTTTCTGCTATGGCCTAGCGTATCACAATTGATGATCAGATTACATATGATGATTACATAAACTCTTCCTCATCACAGCAGAATCTGCAAATATTTGTGTCGGATATACCTATTTTGTGTAGGTGCTTATTAGTGCACTAGGCGGCGTGGCCTATTAGTGTACTAGAGAGTGACTTCAGATGCTTCTTGTTTAGGTTGAGAGCGGTGTTTGCTCTTTTGGCATTAAAATTCAAGAATTTTTATGTATGATATAGGCCTCCTATTCCATTTCAATATTCATTGATACTTTGTTGGAACCATTTTTTGGTCTTCTGTTTTATGTTCATTTTATTGAAGCCAGAGAAGGGAGTTGAGTCCATGAATGGTTCTTTTGCCCCTGTTTTGGCATAAAGAGCCGCCTTTTCGTTACCTTCATGTACGGGTACCGAAATCAGCAATAACACTACAACAAATAATTTGAGCACGGAAAAATGCATCTTTTAAATTCTAATAATTCAAATTAATTCATTTAATTATTTTAGAAAAGCATCATAAATTCTTAAAATTAATATACTAATCATCAATCAATAGATCACACGATACTTTTTTTACGATTTAAATGTACAAGATATCCATTAACAGTGAATACTCATAACTAACTATGACTTGTACATACTAATAGCTACTTCTGACTAATTGCTCTCAAACGAGTCAATACTTTCAAAGTTAATGACTTTGAACTGTAAGATTAGTGGATATCACACGCTGACGTCGTCTTTCTAAGCCACTTATATCAAGCAATTATATCAAGCTTCCACGTAATTTTTTGTTAGCTCTTGAAATTCTTACATTTTGTTTCATGTATGTCAAACTTTGATAATATAATGCACGAAAATACCTTATATTGATTCTTAACTCCATTAACGACCTAAATCAAATAAACTGCTTTAATGAAGGCTGTTCCCATTGCCTGTTCCCATCTGTAAAAATATCATCTATATTGTGTTTGAATACTCCTAACATACCACAAAAAATTTTAATAACGTTAGAGTGTTAAAATATTTCTATTAATAGAATCTAACATTCAAAACTAAAATATTATGGAACTCTAATAGATTTTATATAGATAATAATCTTCTTTATATAATTATACTTTCTGCATTAATAATATATATTTATCTCCAATTACTTGATTCATAATTTTTTTAGGTTATTGTCTAAAAAAAAATTAAAAAAAGTTTGATTATAAATATATATTATTATATATAATTAAAAATTGAATTTATTATATTCAACATTGACTGCTAAATATTTTTATTGCATCCACTTCATTTAACGTCATGCAATTTTTATCGTAAACAATCTGAATAAAATTTTGCAAAACAACACGATAAGTAAGTCTAATTGCCCAAAAATTTTGCTTTTCAAAACCTAATTGCCAAATAGAAAATATTTAACAACTCAAACAACGCTTAAAAACATATAAAACCAAATTTGTTTCGGTTGGTAAACACACCAAGATTTTCCACAAAATGTTTGTTAATGACAATGCCTGCCCAGAAACCAATTAAATTCATATTAAATGTAACCAAGCATTTCTTAATAATTTCCATTTATTAAATTTTCAGTTCAAGCACGCACGCAAGATGTTGACTTTGTGCAAAGTCGCGACGACACTCCTAATGCTACTTCTCCTCAGCACCATCCAAATTCCATATATCACCGCACAATCGAGCTCAGAAACAGTGCAAGGCAAGGGAAAAGCGATTATTTACAAGCCAGCAATTATACGTACCGAATTACGTTTTGGACGCAATTTGGATCCGGAAAAAGTACGCTCAGTTAATGTCAAATCAAATACCGGAGAAGATGTTGAAATACTCGTTGGTAAGGATAGCCAACGCGGGCGTGCTGGAGGTAGTAGCAGTTTCTTTGTTAAAAGTGCAGATGTACGACCATCATCAACTACCGAACGCACACCTCGCAGCCTCAATGATACCGCCAACTTCGAGAAGCAAGCATCTCTGGAAAAATTGCTAAATCTTTCGCATACATCAACGCTGCTGAAGCAGAGTGAATTGGTGCGTCAAGCGAAAGCTTATAATCAGCGCAAAGCAGAAGTTGAACTGCGTCAGCAACAGAAAGCAGAAAGTGCATTGCAAGAAAGTGCAGTCGTTGTCAATAGCGGTAGGGGACGGCACGGAAGAAAATTGAAATACACTACAAATGATTTCCCTGTACAACAACCAATAAATCAAATGTACTTATCACAACCACAATATACGAATGAAATGCAATTTGTACCACAACAAAGTACTGCCACAACACCAGAACTGCAATATCAACCATATTATATACCATTGGAACGCACCAATAACTTTTCATTCCCAAGCGATAGTAAAACTACCGATCTCAGTCAAACACAACAACAGGCACAAGTACCACAAAAACGGAATTGGCAGCCTGCTGATGTTCACGACTTACGCACCCGTCAACTACGTCAAACAGCGGCAGATATGGTGCCATTCCGTTTCCCAGTTGAATATGATTTTCAACCATTATACACTGATGAATCACAAGGTATAGATGATCTTTACAGTTCCAGACAATCTCGTTACTATATTAATACCGGCGAACGCAATAGTAGGCCGCACAATCTCATTACGAAAAATAATTATTTGCCTTCTAAAGCAAAACAAACAAATTATTCACATATCCGCCTACCAGCTGCTGTAGTTGTCAGTACTTCAACAGCTATCGGTAATTCCAATCCACCAGTTCCAAGTCAAACAAATCATAACATTATCACAGCTGCTTCATCGCCTGCTTATGCACAAATAAATAAACATACACAGTATCACGACGAACCAATAACACAATCACATCCATCAAAAAAATGGCAACCACTAAAGCAAACACAATCAACCAGATTGGGTCAACTTTCTAAACCAGTACAATCCACACAGCCATTACGACAAACACAACAAGCTACACGACCCGTCCAATCTGCCATTGTCGATGGTCCTGCAATTACTCTCATTGAAGGTGTACGCGTACCAGATACACCCGAAGATAGAGTGAAAACATGGCGCAATGCCAGAGTGCTAAATAATCAACTGGTGCCATATCCTGACGGCTATACACCACCCAAAGTACAAATTCAAACTTTCGATAGTTGAGTTAAGACTGTGAACAAAACTACATGAGCTGCTAGCCGTTCGACTTCTTCGCCCATTTATAATTTATTATTATATTTTATATTTAGTAACTAACAAGTGAAAAACATTTTTGTTTTTTTGTTATTTATTATTTAATTTATTATTAAATTAAATTTAATTTATTTTTTAAGCATATATATACTAATAATTAAATTATTTAAAAAAACAATTGAGAAAGAAAATTTTTTTCAATAAAAAAAATTGTCAAAAATAATTACGAAATGTTTTGTTATATATGGTATGTATTATAATATAATCAGATCCCAACTTCTTGGCTAGATTAAAAATTTATGTATTATAATAATAAGACATTGTTAATATGTTATCATATGAACATATTAATCTATATATCGCATATCTCAGCGACTATTCCACTCAACATGACGTCATTCTTCTGTTCCATTGTCGAGTTTTGCACATACAAAACTGAGCACTATTGACTTATAAATCTGATTAGATGAATCTGATTGACTGTAAGTCACAAATATACCTATTGATTCTACAGAATCAATAGATTATGTATTCGTAGATTATTATATTCGTAGCTCACATAGGCCTCGTAACCTTATGCTATAAAACGTTAACGCCCATTGATAGTTGAGCAATAGTCATTACGTAGAATATTAACATTTTTAGCAAATCTGTATAGTATTTAACCTTATAGTGTTGAGTCATCTTTAAGTATATTCGCAAAACTAGAACATATCTATGTCGTCTAATTTCAGCCAAGACGTGAATTAGTCGCATTAATGAGTACCTTTACTCATGCAACGGTATCTCACTCTGCTATTTAACTTTCCTTCCTAGAACTTTCACTTTAGAATTGATCTCAACTAGGAGGCATAGCTCTCGTTAGTACCTTTTACTCTATTTTGATGAAGAGTAATCCGTTCATTCTAACATCCCACTTTACAAGTATGGTTTTCGTGATTCCGGTCATAAGATTTATATCTAACAACTTCTGAGTTCACCAGTCTATATTTCTTCACCATTTTTAGGTTATTTGATATTACTGAAAAATATAAATAACTTAGATCTTAGTCTTGACGAAACATACACTTGGGGTCAAAAAACTGATTTGTAATATAACTAAATTCTCTAAACGTTTACATTAGTATACGATATCTTTAAAGGTTAACAATTTCATTTACGTCATATATAGAAAAAATTTTAATATAATTAAATTAGCTAAAATCTTGTTGAGTTTTTAAAAACATATCTATATCAAACCTCAAAAACTAAAATTAAATGTTATGATTACAATTATATAGAGTCCGTTCAAAAAGTATCAGGAAGGAACTGCTATTTGCTTTTTTTCAATTAAAACGGCATTGATTACTCAAAACCAAAATTCAAACTCACAAAATAAGACTTCCAAAAAATAAATTGGAATGAATTGACTAAGCCAGTTAACGTTTATGGACAAGTCTTATGAACAATGAGAAAGCACGAATATTATTATAGATCAACTTTTACTCATCAAATTTAAACCGTAGCTGAAGGATTCTGTTTTTAAAAGTTAAAAACTTACAAGAAAATTAGTTTTCATATAAACAATAATTATTAAAATGTAAATTACTTTGAAAATTAATTTAAATAATTCTTTATTGATCGAAACGGGTCCAACATAAAAAAATGAATCAACTTAGTAAATTTTATATTAAAGTCATCAGTAAACAGCAATCAAATTAAAAGCATATATAATGAAAACCACAATCAAATAAAATGAGAATTATATATCATTAGATACTTACATAATGTTAGAATAATAATATATATATTTAAAATAGATGAGAATTGTTTGTATTTTCATTTTCTGAAAGTATAGTGTATTAAGTATACACAGAAGTATCTAAAATTAAACAAATCTAAATTTAATAATAATTCAAATAAGCGCTTTAATAAAAAGTGGGATAATGGCTACAGCTAAGAACCATTGATTAGACTTATTTGTGGGTTATAGAAAATGAACGTTTCAAATTTTATATTACTGAATTTTTAAATAAAAATTTGTTAATAAAATTTAAAGAAGAAATAAAGAAACTTCTAGTTCAGATAATAAATTTTATAGATTTTATAAATCTATAAAAAATAAAAATCAAATAAATAAAACTAAAAAAAAGAAATTAAAAAAAAAATAAAAATAAAAATGATTATTTTTAATGATTATTTTTTTAATCATAATATTAATATATAATGAAAATTGTATTTTAGTATACAGCAAATATACCTACATTATATTTAACATATGTATGAATTTATATCAAGAACCCAATAACGATCTTACGGTCAACAGCCGCCAAGAAATAATCAGCCTAGCGGTCTTAATATTGGCAAATACGATATAAAATGCCAAAATAATAATAAAAACCGGGCACATAACGTCATTTGTGCTAAGGGCTGACACTTGCAGGATATATTCTCCAATTAGTAATATTAACTCCTTAAATCTCCTTAAACTAATTCAAATGATTTTTAACTTGTATAGCAAAAAATGTATTTTTTTTTTTGTTAAACAAGCGGGTCCATCTAATATAGTCAACCTAGTATCGTTATTCTTAAAAAGTCTATACCACTTAAAACTTTGTGATTTATTTTAAAATTTTACAACAAAAGGAACAATATTAAATTTTAAAAAAAATTTACAAACTTAAGTTATGTAATATATATACGATATCAAAATAAAAACTATTACTAACAAACTTAATATTAATAATTAAATACAAAATTTGTTCTTTGGCAAAAACATAATAATATATATATACATATGTAATCTTAAATCATAAACTGGTTAACAGTTAAAATCTTTATATTGTTTCGTGTTATGTCCACACATTTGGAATACTCAAACTCCAGCTGAACGACTTGTGTAGGAGCCATTTGCATATAGCCATTTCTGGAGAGTTTATACTTTACCACATTTTTGTGTACAATTTCAATATAAACGAAAATTGCTGGTTTCTTTACAATTACTGAGAGACTATAACTATTCATTTTAACATTGTTTACAGAACCTTGACAATATTTACTCGAAATCTCCACCTATAATTGAAATTAAAAAACTTTATTGACTACGTATATTTTAACAGGTTTCTACATACCTCAATTTCAGGATCTGACACACCTACAGCACTGGATATAGCGCTTGGGAAATAATATGCACGAGATAGGACTACACTACCGCGTTGCAAAGTATACTCCACAAAGCAATTATTTTGATTAAATTTATCAGTTAATATAGTGCTAACTGGAATTACTTTATCATGATGAACACCATTTGGTTTCTATATATAAACGAAAGCAAGAAATTTTTTTATAAGAATAATAATAATAACCAAGCTACTAACCAAAGTAACAGACCAATTCATAGAGTTTTTAACATATAACTCCGACCATAGATATATATTTTGAAAAACTTTAAGATCTTTTGTATTAACCTCAAGTTCATCACAAGTTAAAAAAATATTAACCGATTTTGTAGACGAATTGTATAACGCAATTATAGTAATTGAATCCATAAAATCTCTAGCCCAATAATGTAGCAGCTGAGCAGAAAAAAATATTATATTAATAAAAATTTTTTGAAATCAAAAAAGAAGAAAACCTTATAACTGCCATAGAAGTCAATGCTTGACCAAGACGGTGCTACCCATACATCATTCAGCTGCCAATATAGGGCACCCATTGTTCTCACTTCAGTATCTCTCAAACTTCGATAGACTTGTGTTTCAATTTTAGTGGACATTGCTTGTGCAATTTGACTTAAATATATCAAACCCTCAGCATAATTCTCTTCTTCTGGTAACGGTAATGGCAAATGTCGTCGTATCAATGTTGTAATTGGTATCATAGCCAATGGATGATGTTGTCGATGGCTAATTAATTCGATTATATTATCGTTATTGCCCAAAATGCGACTCCATGATTGCATTTGTGGTAAACTTTGAAAACCATACTCAGATGCAAAACGTGGATGTGGATATATATTTGGATCCCAACCATCTTTTAACACATCATAAAAATGTACTAAAAATTTGTAAAAAAATTATAAACATATATAGATTTCCATCAAAATATTTCAACTTACTATCACCATAATGTGTATCTTGTGGATCATCTGACAAATAATTATCCTTAGCACTTATTTTACCATTTGATGGTGATGATATTAATGGCAAAATGCGTGTACTATGTTCTACAATCTTCAGCTCATGATTAATTGTAGCCAAGTAGAGCTCACGGTATTCTGTGTCAAATCGTGACTTCTCCTGCCATGTATGATACCAATTTTGTGCTAAAGCAACTTCATTTTCATTATTTGTGGCAAATACCGCCACGCTAGGATGATGAGCGATCCGTTTAGCATTTTGTATAACTTCAGTTCGTACAGAAGATAAGAAATCGTTGGTTACAGGGTACATAGCACAAGCAAACATCATATCCTGCCAGATTAGTATTCCATATTCATCTGCCAGATTATAAAAGTAATCGGATTCATAAATGCCGCCACCCCAAACACGTAACATATTCATGTGAGCCTCCTTAGCAGAGAATAAGAGGTGCTTAACTTTCAAAATAATATATAATTAGGTTTTAATATATAATTCAAATTAAATTAAATAAAATTTATAATATTTTAAAATAAAATAAAATAAAATAAAATAAAATAAAATAAAATAAAAATAAAAATAAAAATAAACGATAAAATAAAATAAAAATAAATATATTAAAATGAAATAAAATAAATTAAATTGCAATAAAGTATAATTAAAATAAACAAAATAATAACAAAATAATAAAAATAAATAAAATAAAATGAAGTAAAATAAAATAAAATAAAAATGAAATACAAGAAAATATAATAAAATAAATAAAGTATAATAAATTAATTAGAATATGATAAGTGATAAAATTAAATAAAATATAATAAAATATATTAAAAATAAATAAAATAAATTATAATATAAATAAATAAAATAAAATAAAACAAAAAATAAAATAAAAGTTAGATAAAATTAAATAAAATAAAATAAATTACCATAAAATATAAAAAACAAACAATAATAAAAATTAGTCAAATAAAATAAAATAAGTAAAATAAAAAAAAACCAAAAAAAAAAATGAATTAAAATATATAAATGAAATAGAATAATGAAAAATGAATTTAAAGAAATAAGAATAATGTAAAATAAAACAAATCAAAATAAATTAAAAATAAAATATGATAAAATATCATAAAATATAATAAAATAAAATATATTAGATAAAATAAAAATAAATAAATAAAATGAACAAGACATAACACCTCAAAGTAAAATAATATAAAATAAAATAAAAAAATAAATAAGAATAAAAAAAATTAAATAAAATAAAATTATTTAAAATGAAATAGAATAATGTAAAATGAATTAAAATTAATTAGAATAATTTAAAATAAAACAAGAAAATAAAAGAAAATAAAATAATCTTTGTAAGATTAATATAGCAAATCCTTACTTCGCGCTTCATCTCCTGCAAGTTCCGGTAGTATATGTGAGGGTATATAATTTGATCCTTTCATAAACATTTCCATGCCATTAACCTTAAACAGGAAAGTATTTCCATCATCTATAAAAATAATACACTAGAATTAAGATTGTTCAAAATTCTAAGCACAAAATCTTACTTGCAGGCGCTATATCTTCAATCAATTCTATTGTTCGAAAACCAACTCTCACTGTTTTCTGTGATATCGACTTCGAACGTAAGCTAAACTCACTTTTATTCAACCAAGAATTCAATGTGAAGTACAGTGGGTATAATTTATGCACGCCATAACCATTTGGCCACCAGATTGTAACGCTATTCTGAAACCATTATTTATGTTATAGATAATGAAAATGCTTGATCTTGAACTCATTTCCACATAATTACTCACAATTGGTATGGCTTGTTCAAATGCAATTACAGCATTTTGATAGCTAATTGGTTTTGTTTTATAATCATCGATAATGATCGGATTCTCAAGTAATTCTCTATAGCAAAATTTAAAAAAAAAATTTATTTTTTTCTCTGTTTACATAAAACAATATAAACTTACACTGCATAGCAGGTCAGCTCCGCATAAAAGTCTCTTCTACCCGCGGCATCAATAAAGACGCGTACATGCATATTCCAATGTGTATCATTTTTACTAATTGCTACGTCAATGTCACGTATTAGTGCTACCTCATAATGTTCCAAAGTAACACTTTTCCTTTTGTTGCATTGAGGTTAGTTAGTTAGTATACAATATATATGGCAATTCAATAGATATGACACTTACCATATGCCCATCGAAGGTGCAGCTAGACCCCAATCCCAGGCGAAACTCGCTTGCATTTTACGAAGCATATTCATATTGCATTCGCCATGGTAACGCTGATTTGGACATTCCGGTGGCACTGTTATATTATGATCCTTCAGTGCATTCGCTTTAGCAGCAGCTGCAAACACTGGCGATTTGAATTCAATTTCCAAAAAATTTTCCTCAACTAAATAGCGTGTGACGTCATATGAATAACGTACGAACATATTATCAGTACGTCCAATGTAGAAGTGATTCAAGCGTATTTCTGCAATTGTGTCTATACCATGGAAAGTCAAGTTCACAAAACGTACACTTTCCATTTCAGTCCAGTTAACTAAAATTTCAACAAGAATTTAATTTTTCAAACTATTTTAATCACAATAGACAATTAATAGAAATAAAATAAATAATAGAAAATTTGAATAAATTCTCTTTAAGTTTAATTTAAACCACAATAGATCTCCATGTGTTATAATGCCTTTCTATGATATTAGATAAAACTACTAATTGACTTTTTTTTCATAACTCACAAGCAAATGTGTTTTTATACGTCCAATTGTCATATGCTACCCAACGAAGATTCACATCATTATAGGACTTCAATACATCCTCTCCATATAGAGCACTATAGATACCGGTGGGAATTTTTACTTTGGTTTTTGTAACAGCTTTAAATAAAATAGAAAAGAACATTAGATTTAATTATATAAATTAATTCAAAAATACAAAAACAGAACATATTAAAAATATTGAAATAGATTAACATTAATATAACTTCTTAGTAAAAAGTTCCCAAATTGGGATATATGATAGGTGGAATAGTTGCAGTGGCAGGTCATTCTAATACTCAGGATTTTTAATTACTGTTTTACTACGATATTTCTCATAAGAAACTTTAAAAAATAAAAAATTATAGTAACTTAATCCATTCCTTTGAACTTATGTTAGATGAATTTATGTTAAGTTATTTAGGATAGATCTTTCTTCCTTACCGATGAACAGAGTGACAAACTGTGAGAAATATACTTCATTACAAAACCTGTTTCTTCTGAAAGCTGTCGATATCTCAAGCCAAAAAAAATTTTTGAATTATTGAGTTTAGGAAATATTTCCAATAAAACCATGAATGATGGATATTTGGTAATACTGAAAGCAGTTATATCGAGTATCCGTCGCCCGGTTGCATTTAAGACGACAGAGACTGTGACGACTAATGAACTATTAAAGAATTAAAGTTATTATAATAAAAACTGTTTTCATAATTTAAAGACATTAACAGACCTGAATAAATTTTTCACAAAATGGACTCAAATAAAATCCAGGTGTACCAGAAATAAATAAATTATTTAAAACTAAAAAATATTAAATATTTTTAAATTTTTAGTTAAAAAATAATAATTGTTTTTTTAAATACATATGTTCAATCACAATTTTTTTAAATATTAAATACTTATGCTATACACGTGACTACTAATATCATATAATAGTAACATATTTAAAATTTACTTAATTTAAAATTTAAATTGTATATTTGTCTCACAATCTCTTCGTCTAGCTGCGCTATAATGAAAGTGAAGGAATCTAATTTATTTTAATTGTAGAAAAATACAAGTGGCACTCTGCTATTAAAATATGAATATACAAGTATAAAAGTAGCGAAAGTCCCAATAATTAATAATTTAATATTAATGTTTATATATTGTCGTAGATGCGATAATTTAAATATACATAAAATACTTCGTAGTAAACTTAGAAATCGTTTAACCGCTGTATGTAAGAGCAATAAAGTGTTCACTCGCTGAAAAATTGAACGTCATTTGAAGTTCATAAAATTTTGATATTTAAATGAGATAAAATTTAATTTATTTTTTTTTTTTTGTTGATTTACAATATATGATCGACAACTGTTAAAACTACAGTATTCGAAAGTGATCGATGAGCCGTAACAAATTACATTCCTAACAATTTTTTAAAACTCCCATTTATCAAAACTTCTAATTCGTCATAACTCGAATATTATTATTGTTAGAGGATGTGGCACTACGACCGTCGGGTCGATTATGCCCGCTTCCGGGTTTAGAGTAGGTCTCTAATCCCTGTTGCTTCAATAAAAAGTAGTATAGAAGCTACTTTACAGAGTTTTGTTGCCTCTTCCATGAGAATATACATTCCCAGGAGCCTATTTCGTATGTGCATTAGCGCAGAGCATTCTAACAGCATATGTGTGGCCGACTCCTCATTCTCTTCGCAGAATCTATAGTTTGTATCCGTAAGTATACCCAGTCTTGTAAGATGATGTTTTAGTTTACAGTTCGCTGTTAGAATTGCTGTGATGATTCGAAGTTTTTATTTTGATAACTCGAATAACACAAGAATAAAAATTTTGATATAAATACAATTGATCATAATAAATTTAATATATTATAATAAAGGTATTTTATTGTAATAAATACCATACAATTTACTGTATTAAATTTTATTTCTTATAATATATATAACATATTGTAATCAATGTATTAAATTGTAATAAATGCAATTATTGTGATAAATGGAATTTATTATAATAGATGTGATTTATTTTATTATATGTAATTAATTACAATAAATGTAATATATTGTATTAAAGATAATTTATTATAATAAATGTTATATACTGTAATATATCCCTTAACAATAATATATATTGTAATAAATGTAATTTGTTGTAATAATGCAATTTATTTTAATAAATGTTATATTTTGTAATAAATGTAATTTATTGTTATATATATAATTTATTGTAATAAATGTTATTTATTGTAATAAATATAATATATTATTATATATGCAATTCATTGTAATATATTTAAAATATTGCAATAAACCTAATCAAATCTTTTGTAATAAACGAGTTTTATTGTAAAAAATATTATGTATTGTTATATATAAATAAAATAAATCTAATTTTCATAAAAATTGTAAATTATTTTTATATATGGTTCATTGTAATATATTTAACTTATTACAATAAATCTCTTGTAGTAAATGTATTTTATTGTAATAAATATTATTTATTGTTATATATATAGTTTATTGTAATATATGTAATAAACCTTATTTATTGTAAAAAATATAATTTATTGCAATAGATGGAATTTGTTATTATATATAGAGTTTATTATAATAAATCTAATTTTTTGTACAAAATGTAATTTTTTGTAATAGTTGTAATAATATTATTATATATAGAGTTTATTATAATAGATCTAATTTTCATAAAAATTGTAAATTATTGTTATATATGTAGTTTATTGTCTTATATTTAACTTATTTAATTTTTCGTAGTAAATGTATTTTATTGTAATAAATATTATTATTTGTTATATATATAGTTTATTGGAATATATCTAATGAACCTAATTTATTGTAAAAATTATAATTTATTGCAATAGATGGAATTTGTTATTATGTATAGAGTTTATTATAATAAATCTAATATTTTGTATAAAATGTGATTTATTATGATAAATGTTATATTGTTATATATGTAGTTTATTGTAATATATCTAATATATTGTAATAAATCTGAATTATTGTAAGAAATATGATTCAATATAGTGCATATAATTTATCACAATAAATACAATTTATTGTAATATTGTAATAAATACATATTTATTACAATAAATACACATTAATCAAAATAAATGAACAATTACTATACATTGACTTATTTCATGTGAAAACCAAATTATTTTCTGTTGAAAGTGTCTTATTTCATTATATTATTAATATTTACTTAAAAAAATTTTAAATTAAACTCTATTATAAAGGTAGGCGCAAAAGCAGACTAGCAATGACCTGGAGAAGGACAGTTCAGCAGAACACGGGCAAAATCGTTTAACGAGTGGAGAGCAATAGCACAAAATAGAAAACAGTAGAGACTCCTTAAGCTTCTAATGGAGTATGGAAATAATAATAATAATAAAGTTAGGAATAATGCATAAAATACAAATGAACCGTTCACTGTAGAGCTAGTCAAATATTGTATTAGAGATTGTACTGTATTTTAAATTTATTACTAAATCTTAATTTCGTTTTGTTTATCTAGAATAAGATAAGCATATTCACATATGTATATATTTAATCGAAAATCAATCAATCAATTAATTTTGTTATAAAGAATAAATGGCAACTGTTTAATTTTTTTTTTTTGTGCTGAAATTATTTTTTATTTTAAATACTAATCTGTCAAATCCTATCTAAATCCCTCTTTCTTTATTTTATAACTACAACACTTACTATTACTTGATATTATTTAGGTTTAGTTTGACGTCTTGACTTTAGTTGAAAAAATAATTAAAAGTAATAAAAATTAATAAAACTTAAAGGTTAATGCCAATAACAATTGATAAAAAAATACCAAATAATCAAACGCATGGTAATTTTTATAATTGAAAGTTAATTACGTTCCATTGAATAAAATTAAACGTATATAAATATATATTTTTATAAACCGAAATGTTGACATAAAGATAAACATTTGTTCTTTTAGTTGAGTTTGCCAAAAAAAAAAACATAAAATATCACTTATCGTGGTCAGTTAAATGGTTTGAGACTATTTTTTTGTATTCAGCTAATCTTGAACTACACTAAGCAAATTAGAATATATTTCATTTCGAATTTTTATAGTTTGCTATATTACTTAGTAATTTCTAAAGTATAATATATGACGACAGTACTCCAACTAATGTACCGGATTAGGAGAGTTACCCTTTTGCCAATGATGAGATTAACAACTAGATATCGAAGCTTGATAATCTAAGCCATTAGCTATTATTAATAGATTATCTATTATCTGTCTAATCTAATTTATTATTGGTAGATTAATATCTAACTAATATTTTCTATTATTAATAGATTAATATTAATATCTAATCTAATCTATTTTTAATTGACTAAAAATAATATAATAATGTAGGACTTCATAAAGGTCCTGCAAAGCTTAATAATGAACCTTGTTAGATGCGGTACATTATATGTTACTATATACACTATAGCTAACTCAAAAAGTTATTGATGTTGGACACATGCACTATAGTGAAAAAATTCCTTGAAGAAAATAAGAGTTTATATGAAAAATCATTCCTTGTTTATATATTATATCTTTATGTTTATGTGATATAAATTTCAATTAAAGCGAAAAATATGTAGTTAAACCAAGTTTAAAAATCTATATAATAAAAACTAATAATAAAAATAATTAATTTATTTTTTATCATCAAAAATAATGCGTTTCTCAGAAATTCTAAAGATATTTTTTTTTGTTGCATTTGTAAATAAATTATTTCTATTATCACTTATCTAATTATCACTTATCTTATTATCACTTAAGATTTAAACAATTTGGAATGTACTATAAGTGTTTTTAATTAAGAAAAATAAATAAAAAAATTTATTCGATTTATTGAATTTATCTTTAAATAATGCTATTATATAAAAAAAAAATTATTTCGATTTATATATTAAATAGATTATATTACTGAACATTTTTTTTTTGAATTTTTTTTAAAATACTACTATTATATAAAATGAAAACTGAAAACTTTATTGATTAAATTTTTAATTAAATTCTGATATTTTTTAAAAAGGAAAATTTATCAAGTTTTATATCAATTGATACGTAATGAAAATTTTATTTATTAAATTCTTGAATAAACTCTAATAATGCATAAAGAATTCTCTAGTTTAAAAATATTTAATACAATACATATTTAAATTAGTGAATCATCAAGAAATTAAACAAAATATTTTTATGGTACAAATTACTATATAATATATATTATTTATGTAAATTATAAAATATTAATAAAAAAAAAATAACTTTTTATAAGTATTTTAAAAATGAATATTACTAATGGGATAATGACATATATATGAAAATAATAAATTCATAAATATTTTAATATAAATTAACGTTTTATCAGTCAAAACAAAATCTCTCAAATACAATGTTCTAATCTAAATATGATTTAATATATCTTTGTACACTATATACAATACTTTGTTTCTTGATATGGAATTAATTTGTATTGATTACATTCTGTTAAATTTATATTATACTATATTATACTAAAATATACAAAATCCCTCAAATACAATGTTCTAATCTAATTCTAATATAATTTTATATAACTTTATACACTATATGCAATACTTTTTCTCTTGATGTGAAGTTAATTTATAATGATTACATTATATTATAATTATGTTATACTAACTTATACACTATAAACAATACTTTGCCTCTTAATATGGAGTTAAATTATAATTATTAAATTATATTATAATTATATTATACTATAATGTACAAAATCCCTCAAATACAGTGTCCTAATCTAAATATAATTTAATATAACTTTATAAACTATATACAATACTTTGTCTCTTGATATCAATCATAATGACTGAATTATATTATAATTATATTATACTATAATATACTGTATTCATATATTTCTAAAAAAAATTAATTATAATTGTATTTGATCAGTAGTGATATTTTTTGTCATATATTCCGCACCTATATATTTGTTCTAATAAAAAAATAATTATATATTATTTATTTTGAAACTATTTGAATTAATTCAAGTGGAGAGCTAAAAGCAATTTACACAATATTAATTATATGAAAATATTTTATTTGACAAGTTGTTTAAAAATAGTAATTTTATCGTTACTTATAATTGATTTTCCAATTATACGAAATTATGGAATATAAATAACTTAATAATATTAAAAAAAATATATTTCTTTTTTTGAAACTTACATCCATTTTGATTAGTTAAATTCCAGCCTGAAGAAAGTTCCCTGGTGTATACATGTTCGTTGCTTGCAATTTGTATTTGTAAAAATAAGAAAATTAAACCACCGAAGTAGCACCAGTGGATGGCATGTAACTTCATAGAAAACTCCATTTTGATCACTTATCACTTTTTTTTTTAAGAATGAATTACTTTCATAGCCATTACACTTCTTTAAATTTTCTATTGTTTAGTACAAAAATTATCAAAAATAAAAGAAAAAAAATGTACTACTAAAATTCTTCCAGCGACGACACCAACTAAACTTTACCGGCTAAACGCACTGCAGCGACTAAACTATTCGACACCAACGAATAAAATTCTAGCGAACTCAGATAAAAATCCACGTTTAAGAGAAATTTAAATGCGAGTAAATTTTTTGCTAGTTTATAACTAATATATTTTTTTTTTTGTTTATTGATAAATTGTTTATGCTTTATTTTTGCTTCGTACGCTCTTTCATGTTTGCTCTGTTTATTTGTAATTTGCTTGCAATTTGCGGTTATTATGAAGAAGTATTGTATATACAAATCTCCGGATAATATTTCGTTTTGATAAGAAACAGAGAGAGTCTTAACTTTCTTTCATTCAGAAAGTAACAATGGGCACAGAATGAATTTTTTTCAGAGGGAATTTATTTAATTTTTTTTTATTTATTGTTTGCGGGTTCTAATACACTAAATCTACAAACTTCTTTATAACGAGTAAAAATAGTTTATGTTTATATTTTTTAAAACTGTTTTGATTTTTCTCAATGAAAAAAGTAATCGCACATTGTATGAAACACTTCTTCTACATTAAATTATAATAAAGTACTGTTCACACCAACACATGAAACGTATTTGTTGATTTTCAACGAAAAGCGGTGTTCACACCGCCATATGAAACATATTAACTGTTTTTAAATGAAAAGAACTGTTCACACCAACACACAAAACGTATTTACTGATTTAAACGAAAGGTGGTGTTCACACAGACAAAACATCGTACAAACATGAAACGAATAAAATTAATTTGTGTGTATGAGTCTGTTCCCATAGGTGCTTGTATTAAAGTTCTAGTAAAAAGCTATTTAAGTTTTACGACTATCTGTTCTCACATACAAAATCAAATAAAGTTAGAATATTTATGACAACGATTTGAGGTTTCGAACTGCACAAAATTTATTTAAATTTGAATTGAAAATTTCTTACTTTAATTAAAAACAGCTGATTTGCGTATTAAATATCATTTTTGTTATCATGGCACCAAATTTGTCGAAATTCGTCGAAATCGAAATTTGATTAATTGAGTCGAAAAGTGAAGATATTTCTAATTTAATTAATGAATAGGCAAACACAATAAATAAGATATTAAATCGTTTATATGATAATAGCCACCAAAAAAAAAAAATATAGTTGTAGTGAAATATATATATATATATATAGCATATATATAGATATATAGCATATATATATATATATAACATATATATATATATAACATATATATAGCATCAATTTTACTCATCATATAACTACTTTTTCCAGTAGTAAAAAATAGAATCTCTGAACCAACTCTACTGCTATATAAATATTGCTTTAATCCTCAACATTAATACAATTTTAGTAATTAGTGAGTGCCCTAATTTTTAGGAAACATAAACCGAAACTCTCAGGACGACGTCAGATAAAATATTTTCAACTATTTTGTAATTCTTAAAAAAAAAATACATATATTTAATAATACTTTTCACACCATTTTCAATATATTATATCTATTCATAGACATAGTTTTGGGTAATTTTATTAACTAATTAAATCGACGTCAATATCAACTGAAGACGTAATTGGGCTTGCAGTTGTCACAGTTGTATCACTTGGCATGGCTGTAGTAGTTGTAGTAGAAGTTGTTGCACTACCACTTGTGCTAGTGGTACCAGACATAAACTGATTCATAGTCAAAATCTTTATATTCGCCATTGTTATAGTAATGCATTCCGTCTCCTGATATTCTATATGAACCATTTTGGCCGGAACAACTTGTACAAATCCATTATCTGATAAAGTGTAGTTGACAATGCGATGATGTTGCAATTCAATATAAACAAATAGAGCAGGATAATTAACAAGTATAGTCAAACTATAACTGGTTTTTGAGGACGTGCAAGTAGCAGACGAGAGTGTAGCCTAGATAGCAAAGTAATATTGATAACTTTTAATATATTATTTTTAGATATATATAGTACAGTACTTTTATTTCAGGATCAACTAAACCAATTGCTTTAGATACTGTGCTAGGGAAGAACCAAGTGCTAGCTAATATATTACCAGTTTCTGGTTCACTTAAAACAAATTCTAAAAAGCAATTATTCACATTGTATGGCTCTTTAATTATATCATCGATTTGTTTTATATTTTGGGATATTGAATTTGATTCCTACAATAAAACAAAATAATTTTATATAAACTCCATAAATGCTTTACTTAAATGAATTAAACTAGTTTACCAATATAAATTGCCACGTAATATTTTTTTGTAAATATAACTTTGACCATAAAAATGTGTTCATGGTAACATCGTAAACCCTAGCATCTCTTTGTTCTGTCACTTCATCACGCACCAGAGTTATATTCAGCCCTTTGTTCTTGGAATCATATAGCGCAAAAATTGCATATGGTTTCAAAAAATTTTTGGACCAATAATAAAGTATCTAAAGTATAACGTAATTTTGAGTTTTCTTTATTTTTATGGAATATTAACATAATTATTACCTTGAAATTGCCATAGTAATCTATACTAGACCATGTTGGTGCTACCCATACATCATTCAATTGCCAATATATGGCACCCATAGTATGATTATGTGCTCGTTGACTTCGAAAAAGTTCAGTTGCAGTTTTAACAGCCATTGCTTGGGCCACTTGACTGAAATATACGAAGTTCTCAACATCATTTTCCCACTCACTTGGTTTGAATGGTAAATGTCTTGCTATTAACTGCATCATAGGTCCAAAATACTTTGGATCATGTTGGCGATGTTTCATCAGACCCACAACTGTATCACCTGTACCGAGTGTACGATTCCAAGAAGACATTACTGGTAAACTTTGCCAGCCATATTCACTTACGAACCGTGCTCGTGGATATATATCAGGATTACAGCCATCTTTCTCATCCTCGAAGAAATGCACTATAAATATTATAATAACATTTTGTTTTTTGCAAAAAATTACTAATAAAAATACCATCTCCATAATTTATTGTTTGCGGATCTGCTGGTATATCCTTTTTAACTTCTTCAACACCTATTGATGGTGTTGACATCATAGGACCAGGACGTGGACTAAATTTCTGACGGGTTATAACATTTAGCTCATGTTTAATGGTGCCAAGAAAGAGTTTCTTATATTCATCATCAAGACGTTCAGCATCATAACCAAAATCTGTACGATTTCTTGTTAAATACCACTCAATCTCATTATTTGTGACTATAATTGCTAAACTTGGATGATAAGAGATACGTTTAGCATTTTGTACTGCTTCGACTCGCACAGATCTAGTATAAAATTTAATTTTCATTAATTATAAAGTAAATTTAAATATTTTAACTACTCCACAAATTCATCTGTTACAGGATATGTAGCATCACTAAAAGTCATATCTTGCCATACAAGCAAACCGAACTCGTCTGCTGTATTATAAAAAGTGTCAGACTCATATAATCCACCAGCCCATACACGTATCATATTCATGTGAGACTGCTTAGCTGCTTTCAATACATATCTCACTAAAATACAATATATTTGTAAGTAGTTATGTACTTTATTTGTATATGGATATTACTTCTTCGCTCATCCGCTGATAACTCCGGTAAAATATGCACAGGCATATAATTAGCACCTTTCATAAAAATAGGATGACCATTAACTTTGAAGTAAAAAGTACGTCCCCAGACTAAAAAAATTAAATATGTAAAAATATAAATATTATATGCATTTACAATAATTTTAAATCCAATACATAAAAACAGTGGCGCAACCAGGGGAAAAGCGAATAGGGTATATATTCTCCTTAGATTTTCTAGCATAAGTCCCTTCTCTTTGACAAAATCCTAGTTACGCTACTGTATGTAACTATGTATTGAATTTATAGCATAATACCATCTAAATTTTCGACCAATTCAATAGTTCGGAAACCAACATGCAAAACCTTTTTCGATATAGTCTTAGCAAGTCTTTTTGGTCTAGCGTCGGCTATCCAACAGTTCATTGAAAAAAGTAATGGATACAGTTTTTGCGCTCCATAACCATTTGGCCACCAAAGTTCTACTTTCTCCTAGAAAAATGAATATTAAAACGAATTCAATCAAATTATAAAATATGCTTCTATTGTTAAACCTTTGGAATCGGTACTTCAAGTTCCAAAATAGGTGAAACATAGTTCAAATCTTGTCGACTTGTATTTAATGGTTGATCCAGTAATTCTCTACAATAAATTAATATTTTTATTTATTTTTGAAATATTCATAACTATTATTAATATCAACTTACGGCGCATACAACATTAATTCTCCATAAAAATTTTCTTTAACACCAGTACTGAGAAAAACGCGTATATCCATTATCCAATGTGTATCATTTCGATTAATTGCAATATCTACATCACGCATTATAGCCACATCAAAAGCTTCCAAATGTACTGGCTTCCTAATATTACAAAAAAAATCTTTAATATTATTTTTTTAATAATAAGTCTAAATGTCCAAATATTCTACCATATTCCTACTGAGGGTACTGCAGGATTCCATCCACTACCAAAACTAGCCTGCATCTTACGGAGCATATTCCGATGACATTCACTTTTCTCACGTTCATTTGGACACTTTGGTGGCGTGTTGATATTATTTGCCTCCAAGGCTGCTGCGCTATGATTTGCAGCCCATAATGGCGATAAAAACTGTATCTCTAATGTATTTTCCTCTTGCAGATAGGGAATAACATTAAAGGAATAACGCACGAACATATTGTTTGTGGTGCCGATGACTTTGCCATTAAGACGAATATTAGCCACGGTATCAACGCCATGTAAAGTTAAGTTTACACAGCGCACACTTTGATATTCTGACTTGTTTACTAAAAGTAATATTTTATTTTTATATATGTTTTTATTTGTTATAAGAAAAAATTATATTTAATACTTCATACATGAGAATTTATTTGTGAAAGTCCAATTTTCTTTGGCAATCCAACGTAAGTCGACATCGTTTTTTGAGTCCAAGACATCACCATATTGGCTTTTTAAAGCTGTATAAACTCCAACTGGTAATCTTCCCACTACGATTTCTGTAGCTAAAAGTAGAGACCCTTTAGACTACATATAAAGTTTGAAAGATATATATTAAGATATTATATATTATGATTTATACAATAAATTGTATCTTTTTAAGCAGTTATTTCAAAACGTTTTGCTGGAATACAAAACGTACTGTATATACAATTGTTATTCAATTAATATCAAAGATGAATTAATCTTATTATCAATGGTGGACGAATCCAATTTATATACTACTGTCTTTATCAACTAGCGTGCATTACGGATCTCTTGAACTTCTAAGAACCATGTTATATGGAGTGTCATGGGCTCATCAAAATGGCCTCTTTTGGGCTTTGACGAAAATACATGTTATATAGAATGTCAGAGAAATTATAATAATTTGCTTCTAAAAGACACAAATGTCGACATTTATTACTGAATAACACTGCTTTGTCTAAGTAAGGTGGCACGGATAGCCCCGGCTCTCATAACCAAATTTTAATTGACATATTGTTTTTTTTCTTACTCTGAATTTGACCATTTACATTGAAAACAACAAAAAATTTGCTCATGACGAGCCCATGACACTCTATATAACATAGTCCTAATGGAATTTGAAGATAGAAGTAATATGGCGTATTTTTTTTTGAAAATTTTAACGTAGTATACAGTGTCAATAAAGTGTCAATAAACAGAAAAGAAACAACTTTTTACTATTACTTTAATCAAAAAAAAAATTTAGAGCATTTTCGTACAAAATTTTGGCTTAACATGACTTCATAAATTGTTCCGTAAAATACATAATAATGATATAACTGTATCAACTATAAAATAAACTATGGAAAACCGAACTTCATCCACTGACTGTATTTCGGAATCAAAATTACGCAAAGTAAAGACAAACGAAAGCGTCAGATTCTTAAATAAATGTTCTAATATAATCCGGTAAGTCCGGTGGCCCTGTAGTCCGTTTCATGTCAAAAAATAAAATCAAAAAAAATAATATTAAATTCCTTAAATCTAACACCTTATATAAATATTTATATCAAAATTAATGAAACAGCATAATTTATATATAAACAAAAACATAAATAACAATAACAATTTATAAAAATATCTACTATCTCTAATAAAAAATAATTTTTAGTAACAACACTTCTAAACGGTCTAAAATTGAGTGCAGGAACAGGAGACAATCTTCATGTAAAGAAGTGGATTCAGGTTCGTTTTAATAATAATAATTGAAATATAAACCATTACCTTCATTATTAGAATTATACCCTACATAAACTATTATACATCCATATATATTAAAGTTACTATTTTTACTAAAATTTTTTAAACTTATTACTATTTTTTAAGTGGATGAGTTCAATAATGCGATGCGTATCCTTTGTAATCTTCTCAAACAAAAATCTGATGAAAAGATAAAGGAGTTCGAAATACTTCGTCGAATATTTAAAGAGAAAGAAAAACAAGGTATTGATATGTGTTGTGAAAGAGGAGCCTTGGGAATAAAAGAACATCTCTTTTTTTCATCTATTATCAATTTAAAGCATTTACTAGTTATACTAATTCTCCAAGGGTTAAAGGAATAAAACATACGTTTAAGGGACTAAAGCGTTTCAAATAAATTATAGAAATTTAAATAACTATCTTTATAAACGTTTTAACAGAAACTTGAAACCTGTAACAGCAATAAAATTATACTTTTCTCAGTAATAAAGAATTTGTCACAGCAATAACACAAAACATATTTTATTATTTTCTATATATTTGATTGGTTTAATATAGTGGCAGACGATTTTCCACTTTTCTCACACGAAGCCTTAAGATATAAAAAAAACAGTCAATAAATTGATTCCGTTCAATTTAGGTAATTTAACAGATTTTTCGTCCTTACCGATGAACATTCTGACAGACTAACTGTCAAAAATGTATTTCCCTAAAAATCTGTTTCTCCTGGAGGCCAACGCTGATCGTTCACAAAGAAAATGCTGTATAGTTTTCTTTTCCTGTAACTTTTCACAACTTTTACAGTGGGTATTTAAAAGAACACGAAGCTTCTCTACAGCAGTAAGCCTTACGGAATACACCGATCTGGTATTGTTATATGACAACCATGTTAGCCGAGCCGTTATATATGAACCAAGTCTCTCCTATTTACTTATTTATTATTGGCAAAATGAAGAAAGTAGAGGTAAGTACCATTTTTAACAATATCCAGACGAACATAATCTGGTACCCCTCAGGATACATCTAGCGAAACACCAAGGTGCGCCAAGCTGTCTGATTTTTCATTCTGTTCGATGTTTCTATGTCCGAGAACCCAGACGGAAGTGATGTTAGCTGGCCATTTAACTACGTAAATTCTTATATCTATATCTATTCTTATATTAGCCCTAAAATTTATTTTAAATATTGTTTTAATATGTAAACAGATTTAGATATAACAAACTACTAAAAGCAATGTTGAAAAGAGGCGATATAAGAAACTAAGACACTAAGCATTTTTATTTGAAGCCATTGCCTGAACTGTAAATAGATTATATTTAGTTTCAGCCTTAAGGAAATGTAGGTCCATAATATTAAAGGATATCATATTTAAATAATGCACAGAGAACATTTTGTCAAGCACCCAAATAGCTAGATGGATGATTAATATTGAATATCGACATTCTTGATTAGTTTCATATCGTTTTTTGCATAAAAGAAACATGTTTTCCATTTGGTTGGAAAATGTTTGTTTTTATAAACACACTCTAGAGTACAATATCTAAGACGAATGAATCCGGTGAAGGAGGGAAGCATAACATAGATAGCCCTCCCTATCCCTTTGAATGTATAATAAGTATTGCATTACAAAAAACCCCAACATTTCTTTTGGAATATACACTTCCTACTCTCTTTCCTTGGGTACGCCAATTGTACTCTAATTAAGTATTTCTTAAATTAAAAACTGTCACTGCAGTATTTGAATTTTTATATTTCTTAGTAACCATTGGATTTTTCAAAATTAAGAAATTTAAAAATACCATTTTTTTTTGAAATGTATTATAAAAATTTGTTATAGACATTAACAGTAGTAAAAAATAAATCTCTTATAACATGGTTTAGGTCATTATTTTAATAACTATAAAATAATGATTAATCATATCAAATAGTTCAACAAAATTTAACAAAGTTCTTTCAAGCTCTCCAGAATCACTAAACGAAGTCATGGCTAAAAACATTAATAATGAAAAGCTGCTTAATCCAGGAACTGATAAGGAAGTACCAGGTTGTTATCTTTTAATCATATATAATTATTATCGAAAATACTATAATAAAAATAACTCAAGTACATCCTATTCTCTGTTGCTGTAGTTGTAATTGTTATTGTTATTACAATAACGTAATATTGTTGTTATAATAATAAATACTTATATTATTTTTATTACAGTTGAGTGGGTTGTTAGTGCCATTAAATATCTTTGCCGTCTTATAAAACAACATGAGAAAAAGATGAGAGAGTTCCAAACACGTTGTAGACAATTGATCGAAGAAAAAAAACTGGGCATGGATATTAGCTTGGAATTGGCTGTTTTAAATTTGAAAGAGAGACAATTTATTTCAAGTATAATAAATACGAAAGATTTGACAAAGTTTACTGACACTATGGCTTCTCCCACAATGCTTGAGATCAAGAGAATGGCTAGAGACTTACATAATTTAATGGCGTATATTAAATTTTTTAGTGATTAACCAAAATTGAAGTACTGTAAGTAAAACTATCCAAAAAGTCTAATACACAACAATATATCTTTTAATTAAAAATAAAGAAAATCACATATAATATATTATAGTTATTTTTTTCAATGGAAAGTTATGTATTATAGGCACGGTTCATGAGAAGAATATTATTAGCTGTATCTCTTTCTTGACAAAAATAGAAATAATTTACATTTATATAAGTAAAGTCCAAGTTATCAAATGAATTGCTATGTCAACATTAAGGTATTAGTTTTCTTGTTATTTATTCAGTAACTCATTTACATATCTTTTAAATGAATATTGCTATATCATATATATGTGATATGTAATATATGTAAAATATATAATCAAATAAATTAAGAGTTTATGGTGCTCGAAAGAAAACAATTTTTTTAGGAGGAACCGAAGTAGACAAAGCTTGTTGGAGAAGTATGTATATGAATGAAAGCTTCATGGAAAATAATCTAAATATAATATATATAGAACAGTTAATCTAAATAATTTACATTACTCATGCATACTTGTTATAATCCATTACAAAATTTTTTTTTCATTTAAAGTTTAATTTTTTTGCCAGTTAAAATAGTATAAAAGTAATATTCTAGACATATATATTATCCTTAGTTGCCAATGTTTTTATAAATTTATATTTTTTTAGTCGTTTATTAACTAAGAGATATTTCTTTGAAACGAATGTTGTGGATATGTAAACCCACATTTTTTTAATAGGAGAGATTCAATAATTCGAAAAACAAACTATATAAGTATTGATACACATATAGCAGAGTGGAAATCGTATTTAATACCTGTATAGTTATTTCATCAATCCTGTATCAATTTGTAAAAATCATTGAGCTGAATTATTATCACCTCTTAATTATATGATTATATATTCCCCATGTCCATTTTTGAAAACAAAAATGTTCCTATTTAATTTAACATGCTTTTTATTTCAAATTAATAAACAAACCTTGTTCAATATAATTATTATTTGTTATATACCAAAATAAAAACAAAAAATTTTATATATTCATTATGTGCCATTAACTACGTCATCTAATGATAGCAACTTATAGATAACTATATACTCCAAAAACCAAACCATGTAATTAAATTTCCCATTGACAATTAATATGAGATTTACTGACTCTCAATGAAAGTATTGTATTATACACTAAATAATAAAAATAAATACTGATATCTTTGATTGCTTTTAATATCTTATCAGTAACAACTAAATTTAAGTCAATTGCTATCGATCAATGCGCCGTGATCAAGTCTTATCATTACCAGACAAGAAGCGAAACGGAAAGAATTTTTGTAAACACTTTCTCAATATTTATATATTTTAATAATTTATACACTTAAGCTAAATAAACACAATTACATATCATAAATATCTACGGTAAAATAAAATAACAATATAATAGTTAAAAACTGACAGGAAGGAATTCCTTAAATCGGTTATCGACAATAATTTTTAGTGCTATAATTAGTCGCAGTATTTTTATCAAAAAAAAAATTTATGACTAATTGACTACTGTGATAATATTGATTTTATTCGAAATATGGGACAAGATTATAAATTTCACTTTCATATGGCGAACTTCTGTTATTACGTATTTTTCACTTACAACTGCTTTGATTTTTTAAAGACCAATTGCTATATAAATCACGAATTTCATATTCATCACAAGAGATAAATTTATCATAACCAAGAAATAATAAAGGTATAATTGCTATAAAATTATTTAATTTATGCATATTAATCTTTCAACATTCATATTAATAATAAATCAAAATTTTTTCTTATCACATATAATATATGCATATATTCTATTAAATTATGGTTTCTTAGAATTTCACAATCACGCGACTACAAGACCTATCCGGTACGAATTTCAAACAGTAACTAAATAACATTACCACCTGAGATACTAATGTTACTGTTATCAGTCATTTATTAGATATTTTTGAGGTAATTGAGTGATATTGATTATATTATACAGGGTGTTTAATTGCTATAAGTTGTATAAAACATAAATTTATATATACATTTAGGTATATATAAATTTATATATACCTACACATCTTACTAGTTCCTAAAGTGTTCTATAGATTAATATTTCTCCACCTCAAACCCAAGGAAGACCATAATTACTTAATGTGTTTTGCAATAACGTATTCCTATTGTTTCTAAAATATCGTAATAGACCAAAATTATATATTTTACAGACCGGCCCTGCTAATATCGATCACCGGATGTGATCTGCAAACCAACGATTGAGAAACACTATTGTGAGCTATATAATAAGTTCCTCGGGATACGAAAGTATTACTTACACTGTACTCAATAGTAGAACTCAATAAGATATAATTTTCACATTAGTTTATTTTTTTATATATTAATTTTGTCGTTAAGAATACTGTCGTTACTGATAAGAGAGCTAACTTCTTCCAAGAAAGAAAAGCAATACATACGATATTATTTATATACGATTGTATGTAACTTGTAGACAGTTCGAACTGATTAAAAATGAAGATCCATAATTTTCAAACTATGACTTTATTGACTTAACCAAATTAACCAAAAAAAAGAAAATAACACTATCTGGAGATATAAGAAATAACTGGAATGTTATAAACTAGCTTAGAATTCCTATACCTAGAACTTTGATAAAAAATAGACTCTTTTTGGTCTAGTATATTTTAAAGATTTTTCATTACAATAGACCTTTCCGGTAAGGTAATATCACATCTTTAAAAATGTACTTGAAACATTTCTACATTTACAGAATATAGTGACCTAGCTGGAACCAGAAGGGAACGCTTAAATATACTTCGGGACCTTGTTCAATTTTACCTACATAATAAGTTTATGTAAAATTCTTTCAACAATAAATCATTGTCTAAAATTTGGAATCCAATAATTCTAAAATATTTTGAACGGAATTTATTACCATATTATCTAATCTATACATATAAAATTGTGCAAAACTCGTACATCTAAAACCGCAAGTTAAAAAATATGGTATTAATCTTTATTTAGCCTGTATTGATCCATTAATTAACCAAAGTCAGTGTGAATAAAAAATAATTTGTTCAATATAAAACTATTTAAATCAATTATATTGCCGATAATAAATTATTATAATGCATAAACTATTTTTTATATATAATACAGGAAGCGTTTACATTTTATTGACCAACAAATCTACAATATTGTTCTAATGTGAATTAAAAAGAAGCTTATTAGTTTAATTTCTTTCAAGGCATCTTTCAGAGTCACAAACATTTCCGAAACTATTATTAATTCTATTATAGAATATCTATGATTACTAAACATATAATTGCAGACACTACTAACAATTATATATCTTATAGCTTCTAAAATCAGTATTGCTTCTTCCCTTATTTCCATCGCTTATAAAAACCACACTTTATTGATAATTATTATTATTGACATATAAGAAGTCATAAGGTGAAAGACTTCAAACTGATCCTTTTCAAAATTCTTCTCATGACTGGCTGACCATTGATTCTTCTGTTTTTCTTTGCAACTCTCTTCTGAAATTTGCGGTGTGATCAAGAGCTTGTATGAGTTCATATGTACTAAGATCAAGATTTCATGTTTTATAATCTTTTGTTTATCTATTGAAAATATTTTAAAGAATTTAAAAATAAAATAAATTTAATTAAAAAAAATTATATACCAAAACATATACAAATCTTGTAGCATAAATCAGTAAATAATTAAAACAAAACATTGGAAAGAACAAGTTTTTCAAATAAGCAATCATTTAGCGGTCAATATCCTCAATATTTAAATACTGAAGTGTATTTTATTTACATTTTTGTATTATTAAATAGCATTTTAAATTGATTTCTAACGTCCGTTTTGACGAAAAAAACTAAATTCTTAAAATAAACTATTAAAAGTTTTATCGAACAGAAGTGAAATAGCAACAACATTTATTTAAATTATTTTTTTTTATATATTATTTTTAATTAATTGAAAATAAGATAAAGATTCTAAACAGCATTTTTAATTCTTTTTTTGGATTTACTATATATTATTATATATAATATAAATATTTTTGTAACTTACTATACCTTTCGGTCGATGTTGTGAAATTCATTCTACATTTAAAATTTTATTAAGTGCTTTTATATTGTTAATACTAAAAGAGAAAAGTGTACATCACAATTTAATAAAATCTATTGTTTAATACCTTTATAAAAATCCCCTTAGCTAAATTAGATAAATTAAATCTATTGAATTTAATATATTTTTGTTCAAAGCTATAAATCTCGTTCGGTTCAATAAAATACAAATAGTGATATAAGTCACAAGCAAATAAGATGGAAGAATATTCATATATTTTCACTCTATATATGTTAAAAGAATATATATATTTAATAGTAACTTGGTTCTTGTACATATTTAATACTCGTATATCTCGGTACTTGCCAAATTAAAAGATTTTAAATTGGAGTCTAACATGAGGATCAATTTTACGTTTTCTTCAACTAAATCAAATACGGGGAGGTACCGTCGATTTTTTACTTTGAACGAAAAATACTTAATTGAATCCGTTTAGACCTGCTTTATCATATTATAAAATCGGCTAATGAAGACAAACAAAGAGCATTGCCACTATCACCAATGAAAAAATCATATACATATATCTGTATTCAATGTCTACTAAAAATGGACGAAGCACAGGGATGCTAACTTAGGTAATGTTATAATGCCCCAAGAACTTAGAATAAATGCCCTACAGCACAAGTGAATTTATTTAAAATAAACCAAAATTTAAAATTTTTTTTAAATTTTATCCATAAATAAATATATATATATAAGTGTGCTGAACGTAAATAATTGAATATAATACACTTAACTTTAAAACAGATTTATCGAAATTAAAACCGAGTTCTATCCAAAAACTTTAATCTTGCACCGAACCTGGTTTTCATATTATACAATAAAGAAGATACTATTCTATATGTATTTCGTATCGAGTTTCCCTTCAACTTTATATACTCACCATATTTTACCATACATAATATATAAAGACAATGTCCAAATATTTAAAGATTTTATTTAAAAAAATTCTATGTAAGATAGAAGATTATTTTTTTTGGGGATTGACTATTTTAACCCGCAGCTGATTTTAGCGATACGGTCGATAATCTATCATCCTTTTTAACTTTCACTATTAACAAATATTTGGCATGATAACCATTTTTATCGGCAATATATGTATTCACAAGATAATAAATTTTATTATCCTGAAGTATTGGCAAACTGTAATTAATAGTATAATTTCCATTAACCAGTAATTCTTCATTAGTTGTGTCAATATTCTCTAGTGTAGCAATTTCTTTTCTTTGACTTCCTTTTGGTTTAGTGAATCTTAAATACAAATTATTATCATTATAATCATTTCAAGATATATTATAAATTTTTATTATTAATATACCTTAATTCATACAAGGATTTAGTGTCTGCAAATACTACTAAATTTAAATGGTAGATCCATAATACAGTAATTGGCAGTATTATTGTTTGCTGTAAATATTTATCGAAAAAAAATTAATGAACTGGTTTATTCAAAATAAAAAAAATAAAATAATAAATATAATATTAAGAATAAATTGATAAATAAGGAATTAGTTTACATAGTTAATTTTATAAAAATTAAAACATTTTAATGGAATTAATTTTCCAAACTAAATTCTTACTAGACTTCGTATAAAAAATAAGTATTTTTATTTCATAAAAATAATAAATAAATTTATTAAGACGTATTATAAATTTTGGAATTATTTTATTTTTGTATACAAAATACTAAATTGGAATGCAAACTATAGATAAATGCTATATAAAAATATTTTGCAATCAAATATGACAAATCCAGTATCTTTGTTTCTTAGTTATGGTTCCTTAATATAATTAACTTCAAATTTTTAATAAATTCATTTGTTCTTTTATTGAAATATATTGTAAAAAATTTATATCACATATCATTTTTTTAATAATAATATTTATTTATTATTTTAATTCATATGGATGAAATAAACAAATATTTATTAATTCTTCCTTGTAAAGAATAGCTTGAGTGGTTTGTAAAACTTAAATTTATAAAACAATGGAAAAGTATCTCACTTAAACAAATCTGCGACTATAATTTTTTTTTATTTAAATAACACGGTTATATTATATAAATAATACTTTTTTTTAAGTATATTATTCAACGAATTTTGTTAAAATATAGTTTTCATTTAAAAGAAAAAGTTCTGAAAAGAAATAAATTATTTATAGTAAATAAAAAACAACGTTTTAGAAATTATATATTCTCTTTATTAATTAAAGTAATTATTATGTATTATTTAATTTTAATTATAATTACGAATATTTTGTTTATTCGTTTATTTTTGATTTTTACCATATTATTATATTTAATTATCAAAAATATATGCTTTAATCACTAATTAAACAATTCTCAAATAAATTTTATTTTTGTATTGAATAATATTTATCACTATATTAGTTTTATTAATTTTAACTTTTGCATAAAGTTGATTGAACTTGAAATAATTAATTAAAATATTTGCGGTTTTAAAATTAATCTTATTCTGCATTGAATTTGTAGAATAATTCACTAAACATATTAAAATTAATGATTTTTATCATTTTTTATATATTATTAAAGTCTTTCTTAAAATCATTTAAAATTAATAATAATAAAAAACTTTAGAATTTCCAACTTATGTATTAAACCTACTAGTTTCATGTTTATTCCCAAGCTGCTATCTCGAAGACCAAATCAGACTAATCTTATTGTTTTGAATTTTGTTTATCAAATACTGAAGATATTTTTAAAAGATACTTTACTAGTTTGACCACAAATTTAGCGTTTCCAGTAAATTTTTTTTGTAATAAAAATAATTTTTTATTGCTATTCATATCCTATTTTTATATTACATTGTTATTTTTTTACTCAATAATTTTTAAATATTTAATTTCATATCACTTTCTTATTAACCAGATGCAGATTTGAGTGCATTTGGCGACAATCCAAGACCAATGATCTCAACCGGCATAGAAGATAATATATATTTTACTATGTAACCATTTATATCGGCAACATACTCAACAACCAGATTATAATCTCTTTCTGGAGGGAATTTTATATCATTTAGTTTAATTGAATGAGACCCTTTTATGATCAGTTCTCCATTAGGTGTATCTGCATTCGTTGATAATGATATTTCTTTCTTCATATCAAAATCACTATAAAATTTAAATTTGAAATTGTTAAGATGTTCTGCTTAATATATTTAAGACTTATATATAGTAACTTACTTCTGTTTGTATAAAACTTTTACATCTGCTAAAGTACATCCAAAGATACTTATAATCAATGCAATCGTTACATGATAATGAATATTTTTCTGTGTTAACTATTGAATAATAAAATAAGTTTATTATATTTCCAAATATTTTTTTTTCACAAAAAGTTTTATATTTAATAACAACTTACGCGCATTATTACTTTAGGTTTTATTTCCTATCACAGCCTATGCTAGACTAAATTTGCCTTATTTCAATTAATTATAAACTATCCAAAATTTTAGTTTTAAAACAAGTTTAACTAGTTAGAAAGAATATTATCACTATATGTAAACTTAGATATGTAAACTTAGAAATAAAATTTAAATATACAGTGTTTTAGTGTTTCTGCGTAAGCTACGTAGTTTTATTGTCATTTAAAAAATGTACTCATATTAGTATTCCTCTTGAGATAATAACTTCTTGACCTTTCTTAAATGATGTATTGTTTTAAGAGCGTATGAGTTCATTGATTTTAAAATATATTTTAGATATTTTATTTATAATTAAAATAAAATATGAAAATATATAATAAATACATTTCAATATAAGTTATATTCATACTGTCTATATCACCATCCACTTACTTAAATAATATTTAGCTTCAGATATTAACAAAGTATTTAGAAGCGGATAGTTTATTTATTGTTGCACTTATTTAATATGACTTTTTGACTAAAAAATTTAAACAATGAGCTCTCATCACACGGTTCAATTCCTAATACTTTCCCTCTAGAAATTATATACAGATAATTAAATCAATAGATGTTCTACAGACCACTACTAAATTTGAACCGTGGAAGAAAACGTAGAGTTCGATTCGTGAATATTTCACTCCAGAAATTATTTGTGAACAATTTAATCCAATAGATTCTCTCAAAAGCCATTGTCAAATTTAGTATTATGTTAAACGAATTTTAATATATTTGATTTTTTTATTAGAAATGTGTCTTTAATATCAAAAAAAAAATATTAACAGAAAAAAATCATGTAGTAAATAAAAAAGTTATTTAAAAATACATTTTAAAAATTAAATATTTGCTTTTTTATTTAAAATATTTATTAAGATTAATATAATTTTAGATTTAGATTTAGAATTTAATTTATTTCTCTTTTTGCTTTTGTTTCTTAATATATTAATTTATTATAAATGTCAATAAAATATATTTTCATCATTAGTTAAACAATTTTCAAATATATCTTCTTTTTTGTATTAAATAACATTTATCACTGTAATAGTTTTATTATTATTAACTTTTTTAAAATATATTGTAATTGAATTTTTAATTAAAATACTTGTGGTTTTTAAATTAATCGTACTTTACTGTTATTATGTATATTGACTGCAGAGAGTAATTCACTAGAATAATATATTTATAAATACTTATATATATATGTATATATGTTCTTTCATTTTCATACATGATTTATTCTTAAAATTATGGATTTCTACCTTTATAAATTCATCATTTCAAATTTTTACATTCTATTTCAAATATATTAAAAAAATAATATAAAAAAAAACAATATTTCTAGCTTAAGAATTAAACCTACCAGTTTGATATTTATTTCCAAACTACTATCTTGAAGACCAAATCAAACTAATTTTATTGAGGTCTATTTTGTTTATCAAATACTAAAGAAATTTTTAAATCATCGTTTACTCCACTACATATTTTTTTATCATAAAAATTAATTTTACTTATATTTATACCCGACTCATATAATTATTTTTTTTTATTTTGTTCTTATATATTTAGTGTATTTTTTAGTCAATATTTTTAATATTTTTCATTTAATATCACTTAAATTTTAACCAGCAGCTGTTTTAAGTGCATTCGGTGTTAAAGTAATAAAAACCAAGTCGGTAGGCTTAGACGATAATATATATTTCGCTCTGTAGCCATTTTTATCGGCGACATACTCAACAATCAGATTATAATCTCTTTCTGGCAGGAATTTCGCACCATTCAAATTGATTGAATGAGACCCTTTTATGATAAGTTCTCCATCAGGTGTATCTTCATTCGTTGATAATGATATTTCCTTGTTTAAATCATTATCTCTGGAAATTTAAAATTCATAATTGTAAATATAACAGTATATATATAAATATTATTATATATATAAAATATATATATAAGTCTTATACTTACTCTTTTTTATACAGAACTTTTACATCTGCTAAAGTAGTTCCAATAATGCCAATGATAAATCCGATCGTTATCAGAAAATAAATATTTTGCTGTTAATATTAAAATTAGTTTTTTATATTTGCAAATATTTTTTATAAACAAAAATTTTATGTTTAATATTAACTTACTCGCATTATTATTTTGGGTTTTATTTCCTATCACAGCTCATAATAAACTAAATTTGTCTTATTTCCATAATTATGAACTAACCAAAAATTTTATTGTAAAACAGGTTTAACTAGTTAGAATATTATTATTATTACTAAACTTTGATAAAATTTTATAATAATGAGTGTTTTAGTGATTCTGCGTGAGCTTCATAGTTTAATTGCCATTCAAGAAATGTACTTATGTGAACACTGAATTCCTCTTGAGATGATTACTTCCTAGTCTTCTATCAATAATTCATTGGGTAAAGAACAAGTGAGTTAATTGGTTCTAAAATACCTTTTGAATGTGTTAATTATATAAAAGTAACATATTTTTTAATAATAAAAACGTTTCAATAAATAATATTTCGGATCGGATTTTAACACAACATAAAAAAACGAAGAAAACGGATGTGTTTTTCAAATACTTACTCCGTAGTCATCGATCGCTTAATGAATCACTTTGCTGTATACAGCAAAGTCGAAACAGAAGACAACTTCTTCAAAGAGAAAAAGTGGTAAAATAAAGAATTTTTTTAAGTCCAAATATATAATTTTCAGTCAAGTTATTTCGGATACCGCCAAATATTCATTATCAGTAATATTTTTGAAAAATCTTTTAATTTAATTGTAATTTAAAATAATAAATATTAAACTCTGTAACTTGAACCGTAGAATTCATTTCCTAACATTTTCTGTCCAGAAATTATATACAGACAATTTATTACAATAGATTCTTCCAAAGACCACTTTCAAATTTAAGCCGTGAATTGTCGTCGCTTGGCATTTCCTAACACTTACTTCCTAACCAATAAATACTTTTAAACTCTACTGGTTATGTATGCTTGGCTTTACGTTTAGCCCAAAAATTTACTTCATGAAGAACTAAGTTTTTTGTATTTATAATTAGTTATTAATATTATTATTAGTATTGTTATGGGATGTGGCACTGCGACCGTCGGATCTATGTCCCCCTTGTAGGTTTAGAGTAAGTCTCTAAGCCCTGTTACGTTAATAAAAAGTAGAAGCTACTTTACAGAGTTTTATTGTTTCGTATGTGCATTAGCGCGACTCCTCATTTTTTTCGCAGAATCTACAGTTTGCATCCGTAAGTATATCCAGTCTTGTAAGGTGGTGTTTTAGTTTACAGTGCCCTTTTAGAATTCCTGTGGTGATTCTAAGTTTTTCTTTTGATAAGTTCATACAATCCTGGTATCTCTTATTGTTATAGGTACCAATAAGTGATTTGAATTGTTTTAATCCTGGTACATTATGCCAGTAATCCTTTTTATTCTGCTTCTCCTTTATTTTTATGAGAGAAAGGTGCTTACTATGTCCTAGTCCACAAAAAGGTTCCGGCCCCATTATTAATGTAGCTGCTCCTTTCCTGGCTAGTTTGTCAGCGTATTAGTTTCCGCATACGCCAGTATATAGTAAAATTAGTTATATTATTATTATTATATTAATATCTTTTCATTAAACACAGCTTCTAGAAAGAATCGTATAATTCTTTAAAACAAATAAATATGTATGTCTGATAAAATAGATTGTTACTTAAACTTTTTCGGTTTTATTCATAAAATATTATTTAATTAAGTTTTAAATCACACTCTACTATAGTTTTAACCAGCAGCAGATCTAAGTACAACTGCAGCTAAATATGGTGCCGTCTTTATTTTCGTAATTGTATAATTCGCCCTATAACCATTTTTATCGGCAATATAATCTACGTAAAACTTATATTTTGTTCCTGGTGGATGTTTTACTTCATAAAAATTCATCGATTGGGAACCTTTAATGATTAATTCCCCGTTAGGTGTGTCTGCTTTCGTTGATAATAATATTTCTTTATTCACATCATAATCTCTAGAAATTAAAATTTATTATTGTAGAACATTGTTACTAATATTTCTTAATAACATAATAATTGATAACTTACTCTGTTTTGTATAAAACTTTTAAGTCCGCTACAGTTGTTCCAATAATGCATATGATTAATCCAATCGTAAGCAGAAAATAAAAATTTTGCTGTGTTAATTAATAAATAATTCACAAATATAAATTTGAAAATATGTTTTATTTAAAAAAAATTGTATTTAGTGTTAACCTACTCGCATCATAACTTTTAGTTTTATGTCCTACAGTTAAAGGTAGACTAAATTTTTTTTTTCAATAAATTAAGAACTATTGAAAAATTTTAATTTTAAAACAAGTTTAGCAAGTTAGGATATTATCACTAAATTGAGATATGTATATTATAATAAATTTGTAATAAATTTTCTTATATATGCATTATTCATATTATAATATATATTTAAATACAGTAATAACTCTCTTATTGTATGCTTAGATTATCGAACTTAACTCATTTTTGCGTTTATTTCGATAAGAGTACATGCCTTAATTACATTTTCCATATAAACTCCACACAAAATCCATATGTACTTATTATGTATTATATGTGCCCATAACCTTCTTTAAAGTAATTCATTTGATTTAGGTGGCTAATGAGGTTGATTAACCGTATAAAGAACTTTTATGCTTTCTAAAGACTAAATTAAGAAAATTACACCAAAAATGTTAAATGTAGTAGTATGTTTCCACTGCTTACTTAGTAAGTGTAACTTACTAGATTTATAAAATAAATATGTATAAATGTTTTAATATATCAATTATATATTTAATTTTTTATATGATAAATTATTGAGAGAAATTTTTCAAAACAAACGGAAACTCTCTTAACAATTTCAAAAAACTTTCTGACACATAAAAATTCTTTCTCATGGAATAAGTAACTTATGTGAATAGAAACTATAAAATCTTAAAGTTACTTAAGTAATTTGCTAAATAAGCAGTTGAAACATAGTATAACATTACAAATCATATTTCCCAAAAGCGAAGTTATCGAAATTTGACATATTTGAAACCCAAACCAAAATACGAGGGCGGTTTGATAAGTCAGTGACTTTTTCAATTTCCCGCGCAGTTACTCCAAATGCAACAGTGCTGCCGTCAGCTGTAATCTACCAGTGGGCAACTTTTTAATTTTGAGCAAGCTACGTCGTTCGTTGGTATTTGATAGCCGTTCAAAGACAACCTAATAATTTTTACGAGGTTTTTTTTTTACGTGATTTTTCACTTGTCTAGTCACGATGGCCAAAATCCACGAATTGGGATACGAACTGCTACCTCATCCAGCATATTCTCCAGATTTAGCCCCCTGCGACTATTTTCTGTTTCCAAACCTAAAGAAATGGCTGGGCGGTAAGAGATTTGAGTCGAATGAAGAAGTCAAACGCGTATTTTGAGAAAACCTATTATTTGGAGGGAATAAGAAAATTAAAAAAACGCTGGACTAAATGTATCAAGCTAAAAGATGATTATGTAAAAAAAATAAAATGTTTAATTGCCGAAAAAAATTTGTTTTATTCAAAAAGTCACTGACTTATCAAACCGCCCTCGTATAAATAAACAAAACATAAACAGGTTAAAGAAACCACAGCTAAGAATTTTGCAAAATGTTTGTTTTTTTATACAAAAAATATACAAAAATATATGAATGAATTTATTTATTGGATACATGTTTAATGTCATTCAATAGCTGGATATGAACAGAAATAAAATGAACTTCCACAGAACTTTTTGACTCAACTTATACCAATGGAAACGACCAAATCTTAATTTGATTAATATAAGTTGGTTTAGCTGCAGTAGGAGCATAGTATAAGTCTATTTGTTTACTAAATACTACTTGAAAAATTTCTAATATGGCAGTTATGGGTACAAGTTTTGACAAAAAGGAAATATATAGCTACGACTTATATTTATTGTTCGCTAAGTTTGGAAGGTAATACTTGAACATTTTTTAACAAAAAAATTATTGATTCGCATTGAATTAACTAAAATCTAACTTTACTATTAAAGGAACACCTGTGTGAACAGCAATTCTATTCTGTTATTATGCTATGTTTACATTGCAACTAACACCACAAATTTGCAGAAATGTATGCCATTTTTCATATAAAATACATAAAAAATTCGTAAAAAACTATGCCTAATAGGTGTAATGGGTCTAGTCATTGCTGGGTCTAGTATTAAGATGTATATATATATTGCCCCTCTAATAGATAGATCTATCTATTAGATCTATCTATCAAATAGATAGATTTCTATCTATTAGATCTATCTATCAAATAGATAGATTTCTATCTATTATCTACATTCTATCTATTAGATCTATCTATCAAATAGATGGATTTCAGATTTTCATCAGATAATGAAAATTAAGTATTAGCAACTTTGCACGGTTAATAAAGATATTTGTTCATGAGTGTGGCCGTGTAAAAGAGCTTCCACTGTACTTATAGTAAGCATTAATCACTATTTTGTGTATCGTGTATGTTATATTTTATGTACTTGATATATATTGTGTATGCTATATTGTAGCACTTTTATGATAGAGATAAGTTTATATTATTCCTATACTAAGATAATATTTTATATCCTGTTCTTTATTTTGTTGTTTACTTTATGCCGAAACCCTTACTAATTTCGCTTAAAAGAACATTGATGATTAAAAAAATATTTTTTTTCATATTTTCTTAGTACTTATATATTTATTATAGTATGTTTTTCAAATTAAAAAAGAAATTAATTAATAAATAATAGTTTTAATCTTTTAATTTATATATGATGACATATTTAAACAAATCTTTAACTTTATTTATTCTTTTGAATTGTTTGATTTAAATTATTTTTAACATTTCAATAATATTATTAACTAATTCTTATTTAAATTTTTAACATAAATATTTAAACTCATTCATTTTAACCACTTTTAACTAGATCTATTTTTATGTTCCAAATTTGTTATTAATAAAACCTACCGCACAAGTTTGACCACTGTTAAATATATTTATTCCGTTTATTTTTTTTTTGAAAAATGTTATAAAATCAATCAGTTATCATACTCCGTTCTGATGACA